TTAAGTCCTCCTAAACTGTAAAACCACAGGAAAAAATCAAGCAATAGGAAAGGGCCACCATTCTTTTGAGCCCGGACTTTTTAAGTGAGAAGGAAAATGCATCTGGTACCCTCATAGATTTTCCTCATTTTCAGTTTTAAAAGAGAAAAAACTAATTCACCCTGGAATCACAGACACAGTCCTAATAGAAAGGCATTCATCCACATGCAACTTCTGTGGATGGTYCACCTCACAAGAAAAGTCAAAGACTGAATGGACCAAGGAAATGCATTCCTCCTCAGCCCTAGAGACTGTCTCTCCTCGCCARAGTGGAGGCACTTCATCAAACAGCAACATGGCAGAAGCTTTTGCTGCCAGTGCCTGGGTTGTACCTGCTCTGTAGATAAAGAGGCCATCAGTGTCCAGAGTTCTCAAGCTGGCACCTTTCAACAGCACAAAATTCACAGAAACAATTTGAAACTGATACTTTCAGCTTAAGATGTGATGTTATCAATGAARWTTTSTCTAAGGGATTYACAMTRYTTTCAAATACATTGGGATTGGRTGATTATGTCTATGAGCCTAAACCATAAACATTTCCTCTTTGGCTATTAAAAAAGTAACCGCTACAATACAGGCCAATTGCTTGGAAGGCAATTTATGAAAGCTGATTTCGCCAAGAGTGGGGATTCAGGCAGCTCTGCAAYCTCACAGTGAACACGCTGATGGCCAGAGGCACTGACAGAGAGGCTGATCAGATTCAAAGCAGAAGCTATATGAGCCCCTCTTAGGGATGGAAGCTGCTGTTTTGGAGCCAGGTAAATTTAAACAAAAATCAATCTCCACAGATAGAAGAGCGTTGAGAAAGTCAGCACACACTGATGCATATAAAAGGGCAGCACAGTGYTCTCAGCTGAGCTCCAGAACAGAATTTTCATGTGCTCAGCACTCACATTTGATGCTCAACTCCCAGAAGAGCTCAGGGCCCATTAAGTACCAGGTTTTCAGCCATTCTCAGCAGCTCCCATGCTGACACTTCATACAGATTTTCAGAGCCTGGCAACTAGCACACACCCAGTGTACTGAGCAGTCAGACATCAGGCCCCTATGTAAAAGCTCATTCCTTTCAAAAATCTGTCCCTAAAAATAGTTGCATGAAGGAAAAGCTCACCAGATGCATTACGCACTTTCACTCACCTATAGCCAGAATGCCACCCTTCCTTTCATTTGCATCAGAGCTAGAGACCAGCTCAAATATGTGATGGTTCAGCTGATCATAAAACCTGGTAGATTCTTCCTGACTCATCTGTAAAAGCAAAAAGTTCAAATCAGCTTTGAGCATTGTCTCCCTCCCTCCTGCTCTGAAAGACAATGTCCCCTGTCCATAAAGACCATGATTTTTATATCACTTAAACAGAAAAAAATTAAATCAACCATACATTATGAACACAAAACAATTTCTCTTATTTGTGCACTATATGCAGCAAGTTTACTTACTCTGGTACTTGACTACCTGTTTGTGTCATCAACTTGCTCACCTCTCCTACATGCCAGGGGGCAAAGATAAGCTTCCTGCTGTGCCCCATCTCCTCTCTAAGACCAGTTTCCATATCCAAAAAATCTCCATTGCCAAGGCACCCAGCCCATGCCTGACACTCACACAATACACAAACATAAATAATCCCATTTRCAGCACTCACCTCACGCAGCTCCATGGTGACATAATGCTGCAAGTCCTTGGCAGCTTTTGCCCTTGTCTCTTCGCTGCGACTCTTCAAGCCATTGGCAAATTGTTGGAGAATGGACATAGTGCCTGACATGGTGGTAGTATGCTGGGGCTCAGGGCATCAAGTCCTGTAAATTCTTCAGAGAAACACATTTTTTACTGCTTRAATTGAAATCTGAGCTTCTTTCTTAAGGCTGTCCCTCCTGACTGTTTCCAAAATACACACGAAGATGTTCTGTCAGTAGGCCATAAARTTACAAGTAATGACTATATTCCTTAGGCCTTACACACCATGATAAAATTGTATCACCACATATCTTGACCCCCAGCCTATTTGCWCTCTAGTTCCTCAAATACCAAAACATGYTGCAKTAGGTCAGCTGCCCTATGGTGATCTAATCCTAAATCAAGGGTCATGCAACAGCTGAAAAACAGCAGGGTCAAACTAGGGTTTGCAATYACCTATAATAAGTAAGCACAATCATTCCCAGGATTAYATCGCTTTCATATCTGACTCCTCCCTGAACACTTTCATCCACATTTCTCCACAGAAGTCTCAGTGTTACACCAACACAAGGAAGACTCAGCACTCAGGCCTCCCAAGTATTACATCCTCCAGTAGATATTTAGACATGGGAAGCCCAGTTGTAGCAACACCAATCACTGCAACAGGGGGTTTCCCCGCATAACACATAAACAAACTTTCTCAGGAGCCTTTCTTTTCTCTACGTCAAAAACATTTCAMGACGCTTGACGAAACCCCCCGATATTCAGATTACATAAGACCAAAGCAAGCACTGACACTAGAACTTCAACTGCTTCTCCCCAAATATTCCACGGGCGGTCATCAGACACCCAGCGAGACCACAGGTGAGGTGGCTGCTGGCAGAAGCCAGGACAGACCCCTCTGATCAAAGAGCAGCCGAAGGTTGCTGCCGCCCATCGACTCAGCCCGGTGTGCCTGGGATTCCCTCACAGAACCCGGCGGACAGCACCCGGCAGGCCTGAGGCAGGGGGGGCACGGGCTCCGCAGGCCGGGAGKGAAGGAGGGGTGAGGCGGGGAAAGGCAGGCACGGCCGGCGGGGCCGCAAGCGGCAGCGCCGCGAGGCCGAGGGCTTGGGCAGGCCGGCCCGGGCTGGCAGAGGGAGGTGAAGCGAAGGGGAGGCAATGATGATGGGAGACACCGCCGCTCTCACTCACCCGCCACCGACGCCCCGGCCGCCGCCGGCTCCCCTACTCCGGGCCCCGCGACCGCCCCGCCGCCGCGCCGCTGCTGGCCAATAAGCTTCCAGAACCGCCGTGATTGGCAGCACCTCTGACCAATAAAAAAACAGCAAGGGGAAATATCACCCAAAGCTCCGCCCCTTCCCCAAGAAACCGCAAGGACAGTCGCYTGTTAACCAATCATCAGGCCAATCACGGCTGAGTGGCAGCACGTGTGACCAATAGAATGGCTAGGTTTGCTCAGTAGGCCCACCCTCCCCACACGCCGGCTTCCGCCCTTCCGTGAGGCGCCGGCTGTGGCCGGATTGCGGTATGGGTGGATGGGGAGAGCAACCGGCATCGTCTGCTGGGGATTGTGCGAAACCTTCATTCTCACGACAGCGTGGTCTGTAAGCTGGGGAGACATGTATATTTGACGGATGGACCACTCGATGCGTAAAGAACAGCCGCACGTAAAGCGTTGCGGTGAGCAGCTCATTCCGCATAGAGAGAAGGGATGAGTGGTGTCTCTCAGGGGTTTTGCTGGGCTGATAGTATTCAGCAACTTTGCTGGCGACACAGACAATACGATTGAGGCACCCTCAGCAAATGACACTGCACTGTGCGGTGCTGTCACATGGGATGTGGGACYAGAGCATCTGTATATGGAAGAAGAGAAGGTTGTGTGGAAATCTCCGGTATCTGGAGGCCAAGGAGGGACTCTTCATCAGAACTGTAGTGACAGATAAGAGGGAATGGGCTCAGATTGAAAGAGAGGAAATTTAGTTTAGATGTTWGGAGAATGTTCTTSCCTGTGATGMCCGAAAAAGGCCTAGAAATAAAACCCCATAGACCAGTGTCTGTAAAGCAGGTATTTGTTTATTGTAGYGCTGGAGGTGAGGGGGATTTCTCCTCCTAACCCACCTGCCTTCGCTTMAAATTGGCASRTATTTATAYAGTAAGCATGGTGTAAYATKAMCATTGTCACTGCCCCCCATATGCCCACCATAYACCCACCACYATAYATGGGYACRGAAATACACGATATCACAGTTTTACAAGTGCACATGTGTCATCCTCAATTCRGTGGTCGTGGGGGTCTCCCTCTAATGAGASAYCATCCTCTTCATCATGGTGGACTTYYCACCTTTGTCTTCAGRGCATRCRCARTTGKGATGTTCATGKTTTTTT